AAGAAACTGCTAAACTGCTTTCCCAAATTGCTGTCTCATTTTGCTTACCCAACAGTGAGGTGCGAGAGTCCTGAAATGCCTTCTTCCTTAGTCAGACCTCACCCCCATTCCCCACCCCGGCACTGTCTTTCCCCACTGCCTCAGTGGGTCACCCTTCCCTGGCGTGTTTTCAGAACCCCTTTGACTAAGTGCATGGTTGTCCCACCAGTTTTGAAGATTGTTCCAGGAGATAGGATGGGAGCATGGGGAGAAGCATGGAGGGAGGAGGAAGGAAAAAGGTGCCAGGGAGCAAACCGGTGGTGTGGTGCTGCCAACCTGGCGGTCCCTGGGGTCAGGTTAGTCCCTGTCCTTGAGGTGGTGCGATTTCCATGTGGGCGTGTTTTAGGAAGTGTGGCCTGTAGGAGGCTGCAGTCAGAAGGAAGCACGTGTGTGGGAGCACCACGTGTTGGCACCAGGCTCCTCTGGCCGTGTGGCCTAGATCCTGTGGGGTCTTCAGGGAGAACGTGTCACCCCCCAGGTCTCCTCTTCCGGGGCCTTACCTCACTGACCCCAGACATGGTCCCTTCAGGGCACCTGACTCCCAGACCCCTGAGCGCAAAGCTGGTGGCTGGTGGGGGTGCTCCTGGCAGTGTGGCCCAGAGAAGCTTTGCAGGGCGGCTAACCAGTGTTGGCTCCGCTGTCACCTAGGAATGCTTGCAGATGGGGGTATTAAGACAAAGTTGTTAGGGCTTTTCTTCCCCATAGGCAGTTTCTTTATTAATAAACATTCTCTTTTGACTGTCAGAATGGATGTCTAAATGAATCTCATGTTGTTACGTGTTTTTGATTTAAGGAAATTAGTCAGGCATCCTTTTGGTCTGGGCCTCCTGATTTTGAGATGCCTGTAGGATGCCAAGGAAGGTGTGGCTGGGAGGTAGCTAAGTATCCTGGTTTGGAGCCCAGGAGAGAAACTTGGGGTGCACAATAGCCACGCGATTGAAGCCATGGCAGTATATGTGATCTTCAGGGGAGAATAGACATCAAAAAATATAAAAGACAACCCTGAACAGATTTAGGTGGGGGTGGGGGACATGTGTCAGAAAAGAAAAACGCAACTGGAAAATAAGACTGATGATGGGGTACTGAGAGGGGAGAAGACAACCAGGAGAACACACGGCTGGAGGGCGAGGACAGAGAGGAAGCAGCATGGCGGAAGGGTTGCCTGGCCAGGAAGTTGTCTCTGGTAGAGAAAAGGGCTGGTTCAGTGGAGGAGAGGTGGAGAGGGGGGTGGGAGAGGTGCGATGGAACAGTGAGAACCCACAGGAGATGGGAGGTCAAGGGAAGATGCCTTTTGTTATTACTCTCATTATTACTATTATCATCACCATTATTATTATTAATGGATAAGGCTAATGCACAGTAAAATGCTAAAAACTGGGAAGAAGAAATCGGAGAGGAGGAGGTTGAAGATACAGGTTTGAAAGAGGACCTCAGAGCAAGGCCTCTGAGCAGGGGGTGGGGAGTGGACCCTGAGAGGAAAGGGCCTCTCTTCCGTTAGAGCCGGAGGAGGGGGCAGGAGGCAGGTACATTTTTACATTTAGTGGCAGAAAGTTTTCTTCTCACACATTTTTTTCTCCCTGATGACCCCAGAGAACACCCATGTGATAGAGGAGAGGCCCCAGAAGGAGCTGGCAAAGGGCTGCACAGGCCGCCACTCTCCTTTCACACCCAGGGGCAGCGGAGGGGCTCATCCATGACCCGGGGCTACCGGGGCCTTATCAGCTTCAGCCCAACCCGTCTCTTCTGGTCCATTTTCACTTAATTACATTCAAATCGTTTCCATAGCATGGACCTTTTTAAGGCATTAGTGACTGGAAGGGTTTTGTTCTATTACCTCACATTTTCCAAACCCACTTCACACAGATGGAATCTCTTGTAATCCTATATGGATTACACAGAAGAGGAGCAGTGCCAAGGAGGTCAGGCCCAGGACTTGTTTCAGTGTAGATAGATGGTCTTATTTCTTTTGACATCTCGATAGATCTTTCTGCACTGAATCTGGGAGATTTCAACACCGAGGAACGCTCATACTCCTCATACTCCATTCTTTCAGCAAATGCCACTTGGCATCTGCTGTGAGCCAGGCTTGTGCCCTGCATGTCACCTCCTTTGTCAGGCCCTCTTTTGGTCTCTGCCACAGTGCTGTGGAGTTAATGGCAGCATCCCTGTTTCCATCAGCAAGGAAGCTGATGCCCGAGGTCGCCCAGGAGATAAGTGACAAGGCTGGGATTTGGAGCAAGGTCTTTTGGCTCTAAGTCCTGTGCCTTCCATTTTATCAAGGAGCATCTTAAAATAATGTTTTACCCTGTTGAAGTTTTAATTTTAAATGTTATGTGTCTTCCAGTACAAAAGCTTCCTTAGGGAATTGTCCAGACCCAAGAACCGCACAGACAGTTTTTGCATCAGGATCTTAGGAATGTTCAAATCAAATAAATTCAGGGCAGATGTGTAAAGTACCTGCTCGCGTGACATCAGCAAAATGAAAGAGAACTAACAATAGAGTTTTAAATAATTCAAGACAGCAGCAAGAGTGTGGTGTGGGAGAGAAAAGAGGGTGCTTGGCGTTAGAGCTAAGACTGGCGGCAGCATGACCCTGGGAAGGTGGGGGAGGTAACCGTTATCATGTGCTTTTTCATGTGCTGGGTGCTCTGCATGTTTTAATGTCAGTTGTCATGATGAGCTTTACAGCTAAAAATAGTAGCACACCCATTTTAAGATGAGGAAATTGATGGGCCGGCCGAGTGGCTCAGTTGGTTAAGAGCTCGCTCAAGAGTGAGAGCTCTGAGCAACAGCGGTTCGAATCCCGGCCCGAGCTGAGCTACCGCTGAGCTGCCAACAGGAGGCAGGATGGCTCAACTAAAAAAAAAAAATTAAGATGAGGAAATTGAGGTTCTGAGAAGGTAAGCATCACACATCTGGTGTGTGGAGGGCCAGGATGTAACCCGGGTCTGTCTGAGGGGAAGGGCCACACTGCTCCCTTTCAGGATGCGTTCCAAAGATCCTTACGGTGTGGAAACAAGACCACGGGTTCTCATTACATGTATGCATGCGTGTACAGACATATGTGTATATAACTTTTGCTGTTTATTAAGGAATTCAGGAAAAAAACAAAGGGAGCAACTATCAGCAGGAAAATGGGCAACCACCATGCCTCAGTCCTTGAATATCAGTTTTATGAATTCTCTTTTACATCTGATTAGAACGCATACCTTTCTGGACTGGCTTTGGGATCTTGTCCCCACAATTAAAGTTAGAAAAGGCAATAGTATATGTTTGCAAAATTATTAAAATACGTGTTCTAAAGGTGGGTCAGAGTGGAAGAAGTAAAGGTAACTGAGGTAGGTCAAATATATATTTGAAAAGAGACTCAAATACACATTTTCAGAATAAGGAGAATGGAGGTGAAGAGCGGTAAATTCTGCATCTCAGAGATTCACATGTACTTTTGAAAAGAAGTGGAATCATAGTGTGCGTTCAAGAAAATGAGGAACACTGAGCCCCTTCCCCCTTTGTTAAAACAGATGTGGTGAGAATTACGGGAGAACAAGTGTAGTGCCTCGCTCAGCGCCTGGCATGTGGGGGATTCTTGATAAATGGTAGCATTAGTTGATGTCATTGTCATTACTATTACTTGGGGTCTACATTGCGAGGGTGAAGGACTTGGCAGGGTCAAGGATGGTTGTGTTTTCCCATGTGAGCGACTGGGAAGGCGATGATGGTGCCGTTTATGGAAGGGAGGCAGCCAGGAAAAGGAGCTGTGTTTCTTCGCTCCTGGTGGGCTCCCAGTTGCTCTCAAGTCCAGGTCATTCATCTTGTATCCAGAGCGGTCCATCACCTTCAGCCAGGCTTCCCACAAGTGACTGCCTGTGGTTTATAGTTGGGTCCCGAGATGCATTTGAAGGTTTGAAGGGCACAGCACTTCAGGCATAACTGCTCAGCCAACACGCTTTGCCTCTGGCGGTTCCCACTGCCTCCCCGACTTCCTCGTAGACCCTGATCTGTGTCTGTTCCAGCTGGTGGGCAGCTGGCTCTCACTGAAGAGCTTATAAAAGTTCCAGGTGTGTGGCAAAATAATGTTATTAGTAATACCGAGGCCTGATATGAATTAAAAGGAGGTCTTGTAACTTAGGGGTAGAGGACTTTTGAATCTACCCTGTCCTCCATTCTCTGCTAGGGCTCCCCGGGGCACAAGCTGACAATACTAGGGATTGAATAATGGCTTTTGCTTGATCCTTTCATATTTCCCCTCCCCCCAAGTAATCCCATTGGATTGCTCCTGTTATCTCCCTTGGGTAGGAAGGTAGGAACCAGCCTCACTGACAGGTAAAATTTAGGTCATTTATAAAGGTAAACCTGCTGGAAAAGAAGAGAAAGGCCCCTGAAGAAGATATTAAAAGGAACCTCTCCTTCTTCCCCCTTCTGGTTATATGGGAGGTGGGAGGGGCCATCTTTAGGAAGAAAGCAGAGGTAATCCAGTAGCCTCTCTGATTGCAGTGGGCCTGGACTGAGACTTTCCCTGATTCCAGGAATGGAGGATGGCACGTAGCTGATGAAATCGGAGATTCTTCAGCAGATTTAAATTTTAAGTTTGCCTGTGGGGGATGAGTCCCACTAGTTAAAACATTATGTCCTCTCTCAGCCAATTTGCTTTAAGAAGGGACTTCCAGTCCCCTGGGAGCTGGCAGGGTGGCAGTGGTGGGGTTAAGAATATTTTGGCACAGAAGTCCTGGGAAATGTGGCTAGAGTTGTGAAGAAAGTATCCCATTTCTCCTCGTCTCCTCTGTGGGTGTCCCAGGAAGCACCTCCACCTATACACCCGGCCCTCCTCTCCGCAGGAGGGGTATCCTCTCCCACCAGGGCTCAGCCCTTCCCCTCCTCTAGGTCCACATTCCAATTAGATGCCCCTGGTATGTTTGTATCCTGATTGGAATCACAGTTGAAATGGACTCTCTGCTTCCTAGGAACTAGCCAGCTGTGGATGGAGTAAGAAGGAGAAACACAGTCTCGCCCCAAATGTCGTGGCCTTTACCCGGAGGTTCAACCAGGTAAGCGACACCATTTGCATGTGCCCGTTTAGATAGCAGTGTCATCCCCTGTAGGCTGGGAGCCCTGCGGGGTTCAGTCCTGTGCACCTGGCCCCAGGTCCAGACCCCTCTTCCTGAACCCCTGGGCTACCCTCATCCATTCGTTTGCCGTCACATCCTTTTTTTCACACAGCAGGTGGAACTGAACCCATCTATCCTGTGTTAAAATTGCTTCAGTGGCCCCCAATTCCACCTACGCTAAGGTTCGAGCACCGTAATTGCCCCGCAAGATCTCGCATAGTCGATTTGGCTTCTCCACCCCGCCAGCCTCATCTCTCATGTTGCCCACCTACTCTGTGGGTGTCTGCCACCCTGGCCTCCCTTCTCTTTCCTGCTACTTCATATCTCTGTCCAGCCAGGCCCCATACATGCTGTCTTTTCTGCTCAGAATTCTTCCTCCCTATTCAGCCCCTGGTCAGAGCTCAGCCTGAATGGCACTTTCTTGTGGGGGTCTTCTGTGAATCCCCAGCCTGTATAAGGTCTCCATGTGTCCCTTTACTCATCTGTCCTCATTCTGTGTGCCTCGTTAGTCTCCATCTTCCTCACCGGTTGCAGGCTCCAGGAGGGCAGGGACCCTGTGTACCTTGTTCATCACAGCGTCCCCCACCACCTTGCCCAGCGGCAGGCATATGGCAGACTCCAGTACACACGTGTGGAATGAATGAATGAGGGGCTCAGGAAACACTCACTTAAATTTCTGTGAATTCCTGATGGCCTGGTCACCAGCCCCATACATACAACTGTAAACCGACTTGGTCCAGCCAGAACCCTTGCTCCAGGTCTAAGATCAGCATCCCTACTTATTAGAATTATGAGGGGCCATGGCCCAGCCGAGTGGGGTGGGCTCCTGACTGCTCAGCCAGACCTGCCAGAACACGGACTCTGCAGGACCCGCTTGGACAGATCAGACACCCAAATGGTACTATTGACAGTTTTCCTTCTTGTTTTTCTGATTTCAAATAAGGGCATTGGCCTAGAGCAGGGGTCGGCAAACTGCAGCTCGCGAGCCACATGCAGTTCTTCGGGTACGTTCCATCTCAAAAGTTTGCCGACCCCTGGAAGAGCCAATCCTGTCCCTCACAACAATTTAAAAATTATTTGAGAGCCATAAATATATTTTTACATAATCACCATTATGTGAATAATATCCTTTAAAAATTTTACAAATGAAATGATAGTTTTATTTTCATTTTTAATTTTACTTCAGAGCCTGCAGCTCGCGAGCTGCAGTTTGCTGACCCCTGGCAGCTCTTCCGTTTCAAAAATTTGCCAACCCCTGGCCTAGAGGTTACCTAATATGCATGACTGGACCTCTAGTGATGGGCCTGGGTCTCTTTGGGTCTTCTCTGCAGCTGGGCCTTTCCTCTCGGAAATGCTGAGTCCTCTGCATCACCCCTCCTCAGCCCTGTCCAGGCTGCCCTGCCTCGGCCACCACCCTGAGGACAGAGGAGCCTCAGGCACCAGCTTGGGGTCCTAAGATCAAGGCTGGAGTTGGCATTGTTGTTCTACAAGATACAGCAGGAACTAAGAACAGCCTAGATACATCTGCGGTGGGGACTGCACACCGTTTGTTTTGAAAAGGGAAGTTCTGAAACCTTTCATTTCTTTTTTCTTTTCAAAATCTTTTCCTTTTCAACCGAGCTTAGTCTTAAAAAAAAAAAAACAAAAAACAGATGTGCATGCACTCTCAGGGGACTCATAGTTTCCTTACCAAACTATCTGACTAGGAGCCAGTTCCGTCCTACCTCTGACCAGCCGCAGAGCTCCCGGAGGAGAGCCACTGGGGCCTCTGATGTAATCTGCTTTGCACGCGGAGGCCAGGTCAACTTGGCAGAGGGGGGTGCAGCTTGTTCTGAGAACAATTGCATTGTGTTCAGATCAGACCAGCGAAGCAAGCCAGAGTGAAGTCGCATTTTCCCAAATAGCGTTCTGAGAAATGGTCTTCCTTCCTGTCCACTACTCAGACCCAGCAGCTCCTGGACACGGCCCTGGAGGCTACAGTTTGAAAACTGGCCAGCGGCCAGGCCTGGTCAGCCACTGGGGCTGCTGTCTGTGAGAGGAATTGATTGGCATCCCTTCCTGGCAGACTTCCATATGTGAGAACCAGGCTCCTCATCAGACTGCAGATAAAGGAAAGCAGGTCACTTACCTTTGTGAGCCCGCTTTCCTTATCTGTGAATGAGAGCAGTAATAGTGCTCCCCTTGCATAGTTGAATGAAATGACATACGAAGAGCTCTTAGCACAGTGTCTGGCATCTAGTCAGCATCCAAATATTTTGGGGAGAAAGATGGGGGAATGTGAAGATCAGCTGCTTGGAATGAGGTTGCCAGGGGATTTGAGGCTCCTTTTGGCCAAACCAGAAACCCAGTGGCCAGTGTCCTGGTCAGCCCTTGCGGGCTTGTCTGCTTCTCCCTGGGGCCCGAGTCCCTTGGGATTTGTTCATAGACTGGCTGAAATGGAAGAGCTCTGCCAAGGTCACTAAAGGGTCTGTTTTGGGCCAGGCCTGTGTCTTGGCCCCAACAAGTTTACCATAAAGCCCAGAAGTTCTCAGACTTTTTGGATCATGGGTTCTTTTGAGAATCTGAAAATATCATATATGAAACTGCCCCCAGATAAACCCACAGATATACAATTTTGCATTTAATTTAATTTTAGTGTGTTTGCTGTTCCTGGCTCTGAAGTTTGTGCATGAACACGTTGCAGGTCTGTGAACAGCAGGCTGAGAAGCTGTGGTTGCAGGAAATAAGACAGACTTGGGTTTGTGTCCTAGCTCTACAACTTATTAGCTGTGTAATCCTCATAAGACCGGGACAATCATTTCAAGTGGGTTTGAAGATTAAATGAGAATCATGTGTGTAAAAGGTTAGCTCAGCACTTAACACATAGTAAACAAGTCATGTTAGCTTTTAAAAAAAAAGGTGCAGGGTAGTGGGAGCTATGAGCTGATAGCAGTTAGGCTTGTGCCTAATTGCTGGCGGTAGGGTTGCGATGGTGTCCTGAGATGCTGAAGAATTAGGAAAAGAGGAGGAGAGAATTGGGAGAACTTGGTTCCAGGCCAGACACTGCTGCTAATCTGCTTTGAGGCTTTGGGCCAGTCACTTCTTCTCTGAGTCTCAGGACAATTATATATTGACGGAGATTAGCCAGGGCCAGAAGGTTCCCAACGTTTTGCCCTGGAAGCCTGCTTTACCCAATCTAATCACTCTGACCAGGAAGACAGGAAGGAGGCTGTGTTTGGCCAGGTCTCAGAAACAAGGCTTCCCGTGGAGGTGGAGGTGGTGGGTGGGGGTAGGAGGCAGGCCACATGGATCGAGAATAGACGAGTGGTAGTTCCTCAGGGAAAGCCAGGGTGCTCTGACAGGAGGAAGCTGAGAATGACGACCAGAAACAGGTGTCCACTGCAGACCCTCTCCCGTCCTGCTCTGAGCTGTCTGCTCGGTCCATGTGCTGATCCCCCATCACTCTCAAGTCCTCTCGACCTTCTGAACTCTCATGCGTCATCAGCCTAGTCACTGACTATTCCCACTTCCTCTCGGTTTTTTTTTTTTTAAAGATTTTTATTGGGGATTTGGGGGGATGGGAACAGTGCTGGGGAATTGGAAGGGGAACAGACAAGTTGCTGTCGTTTTGTTCTTCAGTCTAGTTGTGGAGGACGTTGCTTCACTGGCCCAAGTTGGCACCATCATTGCGCTCTTCCTGGGTGAGGCAGATCAGTTGCCGGCTTCTGGACGGCCGCTCAAGCTGGCTGCTGGCCGCTCACGCTGGCTGCTGGCTACACACGGTAGCCCATGGCAACCCACTGCCACAGGGACTGCAGCCTACGCCGTAGCCAGCGACTCACGGCAGCCCAGCTCCAGGTTGAGCTGTTGTTCAGAATCTTAGCTGTAGTGGGCAGTGTCATTGGCCCTCATATGTGGGATCCGAACCGGGGCCCTCTGGCGTCCCAAGCCAGTTCTTAACCATCGTGCCACTCAGCTGGCCCCCTCTCGGTTTTAATTGCAGCTCTCTAGATAGCATTTACTGAGCACCAGGCTCAGCTTACTGGGTCAGATACTATGCTAAATATTTTACCTGCATTATTTAATGCAGTTTTCACATAGTCTGCTGAGGTAGATATTTTAAACCCATTTTATGGATGAGAAAACGGAGGCTTGGGCAAGTGAAGCATTTTGCTCCAAATCACATAGCTGGTGAGTGTCCTCTACTGAGGGCCTCCTGTTTTTTCTGAGCACGATTCCTGTTCTTCCTTATTTATCAGAGGGCTGGGAGACAATGTTAGCATCTTCCCTTCCTTCCAAATGCTACCTCTGAACAGTTAATCTTTTCCTGTTGTATAAACTCACTTTCGTTTGAGGCTTATTTTGTATAAACCCACTTTCACTTGAGGCTTATTATTCTGGTTGTATTCATTTATTTGTTTAATAGATATTGACTGAATGCATACCAGGCTGTGTGCTAGGTTCAGGGGCGTTAACAGCTCACTAGACATAGTCCCAGCCATTGTTAGCATCTAGTCTAGTGTGGGAGACAGATGTGATGGAGGTGATTACAGTCCAGAGGAACCAGTGCTAGGATGCGGAAACCAGAGGAGAGGCGTGGGCTGTCGGAAGGGAGGCCAAGAGACTAGATGGGAATCTGCTCCTTTAATCCAGGTGAAGGCTAGAGATATGAAGTGGCTGCGCTCAAGAGCAAAAGGTAAACGTGGTGACTGACAGAATATGGAGGGAGATGACAGGGAAGAGCCAGGGCGGGTCCTCCTTTGGTGTTCTGTTCTGTGAGACAGTGAATTTAGAAGGAGGAGCCATTGTGAGAGTAGGACACAGCCTAGGTTTGGACTCGTGGGCTGGATTCTGCAGCTGGAAATGAGACATTTGAGTCTGGAAGCCAGGGGAAAGGTCTGCCCTGGAGATGCAGATACTGGAGTCATCTGGGTTCGAAGCCACAGGAGTAGATGAGATTATCCAGGATGAAACTGGCCCAAGCGAGAGAGAACCTGAGGATTGCTGCCATGTAAGGGATTGGCAGAGGAGAGGGGGCCGAGAAAGCGCAGGCTGGGGGCTGGAAGGACACTCAGAAAGGGTAGTGTCTCCAATCAGTGTTTCCAGAATGGGTCAAGTGAGGTCAGACTCAGGGAGTCCTTTGAATTCGGCAACATGGGTGTGCTGGTGAGCTCAGCAAGAGCAGTTTCGTGGGGATGTGAAAGGGAAGGTGGGCTGTCGCCCCCTGAGTGGTAGATGTGAGGAAATTCAGAAGGCAGCTGTACATGATGCTTAGAATAGCGGCTCCAGGGAGAAAGGTGAGAAGGGGGTGGCTGGAAGGGTTGGTCCATATGGTGATGGATTAGAGTTGCAGACATCATATCTAGTTTAATATAGATACAGATGGTCACATATAGAAATATTTATAGATATGTGTATATACATGGGTTAGCATGCGCGCGCACACACCCACCCACTCTTGCTCTGCCAGCTGAGAGGACCTAGAAACGATACCCTGATGGCATCCAGCACCCCCAGCACCCAGGTCGTGGTTTCTGATACTGTTATCTACTAAAAGGAACCAAGGCTCCTTGGAGAAATGGCTGGGTCAGGACTGCAGCGAGAAATGCACAAGGTGAGCCTGTAGCGTCTTGTAACACCAGAAAGTAAGGAAGTGCTCAGACCAATAGGCGAAGCAGCCAGAGCAGCGCTGGGGGCGTGTCAAAGGGGGGGACGCAGGAGCCACCAGAAAGAGCTCTCAGTGGCCAAAGCTGAGACAATTGGAGCAACAAAAGAAATAACATGGTCCTGAATCATAACGCAAGGTATAAGATAAATACATGAGTCCATTCTGACATAAATAAATGATGGAGCAAATAAGTGGAGGAGACAAGACAAACATTCTATACAAAAAAATTCCAAGTAATTTATGTAGATATTTTGCCCTTGTGTAGATATTTTGCCCTCGTGACGGTGGAGCACAGCTGCCCACTTCCTTCCATAGAGACTTTCTTGGAAAGTTTGAGGTGAAAGTTATTATTTATGAAAGCAGTTCTCTATTGATGGGCATTTTGTTTTAATTCTTTTGCTTTATAAACAGTGCTTCAGTGAAACCTTGTACAGATGCTCCTCTAAATTTCTGTACATTCATAAAATAAACATTCTAGAGAGAATATAACTAACATTTTGAAAGATATATTTAAGTTGTTCTTCAGAATGGTCCTATGAATTTATATTCCCCAAAACAATGTACAAGAGGACCAATTTCTCCACACTTTTGGTACAAATATGATTCACAAAGGGTTAATATATTTTCTTTAATATACAAAGACAGTTTACTAATCAATAGTAAGAGGACAGATATCCCAATAGAAAGATAGATGAAGTACCTGAGCAGGTAATTCACAGGCAAATAGTTCAAATGGCCTATAAATATTTGTAACAAAAACCAAAAAAAAACCTGAAAACAAAGTGCAAAAACAAATGTTAACTGAGTAGTCATGAAAGAAATGCAAACTAGAAAGAGTGAGACTTGACTTTGTCCATTAGGTTAGTAAAGAAAAAAAGAGTTGTAATAACTGGCATTTGCCTGTGTGGGAACGTAGATCTGCTCAAACTTGTTGATGGATAAACAAATAGACCTTTTAGAGGCCAAGTTTTTTATATAACATCTGAAAAAAGGTGCACATACTTTTATTCACTCCACCTTACAGGAATTTATCCTACGATCTTAATTAAAAATGTATATATGTATAAATATGTTCACCATAGCACTGTTTATTACAACAAAATAATTAGACATTACCTTCCCAAAATAGGGCGTTACTTAATAATAATACATCCCTAAGATGAAATACTTGGCAGCTGCTACAAATTATGTCGTAAAAGACTATTTACTCACTTTGTGATAATATATGGTTAATATACGTATATCAATTTAATGGAAAAAGACAGACGTGTGTTCTATGTGTGGAAAAAAGTCTAGAAGGACACATACCGCAGCGTTTCTCACGGTGGTCTGTATGTGAGAGTGAGGTTGCCAGGGATTTGTCTTTTGTGCTTGTCTCTGTTTCCCTTGTTTTCTGCATTAAGCTTCTCTTAAAGTTTGTGGTTAGAAAGGAGAATAAAAACGTCTAAACCTGCTGATCCTACCTCTGTACTATCTTTCCTACTGGCCCCCTCTCGCCATCCGCTTCCTCATGGCCCCAGCACAGGCCTCCCATCTCTCACTCCGACCACTGCACCAGTGGCCTGGTGGGTGTCCCTACTGAAGAATCTAACCTGTCTGTCATTCCTTTGCATAGAAGCCTCTGGGACCCTCCCCAGGTATCACAGTGTCTTAGGTCCTTCTTGTCACCTTGTTGCTCCAGACCCCCACACTGTGGCCTTCACCCCCCTTTTCAGCCCTAGTCTTCATCTTAAGCCCCACCCCACAGAGCACCTGCAGCACCAGTCCTGACAGCCTGGCCTACTCAGCTCTCCTTTGCCATGGCATATACAGCCACACCTCAACCCTGTCTTTGAAAGTCTACCCATCTTTCAAGGCCTGCCTCCTCCAAGAAGCCTTCCTCTATCATCACTTCCCCCATATTCAAGTTCAGGCCCCCATACTCCAGCTCAGCCCCCCCATACTCCAGCTCAGGCCCCCATACTCTAGCTCAGCCCCCCCCCATACTCCAGCTCAGGCCCCCATACTTCAGGCCCCCATCACCAGCTGCCTTTTAATATGGCGATTTCTGGGGGACCTGCCTCCTCCTTTGGTCACCTCCGTATCAGGCAGGGACTGATGGGGTCTGGACTCACAGTGCCCAGAGCCTGCACACAGTAAGGGCTTCATGAAAGTCTGTTGAATTCAACTGACCCAGACTTGCCTCTGCACACCGTGCTGCCACGTTCCGTAATTATGTCTCACTTATGTGTGATTTTTTTGACACGCAGGAATCTATTAACTTATACAGTACATATAAACGATCACACTTGAGGTTTGTAGCATAAAAATGTGCATATATTAAAATATAAGGTTTATGAGCATATCACTTGGTGTCAGAATATCTTTCTTCCATAACTGGCTAGCAAACATTTGAGTCTGAACTTAATTTTAGACAATTCCTTGGAAAAAATGATTCTATGGAAACCCGGGCAACCACAGATAATTACGCTTAGAAAACTTTTCTGTAATATTCCTGCTTAATATGAAAAGGAAAGTTTTGATTCTTGGTTACTCTTTCCTTGTTTTCTCATTGAAAAGGGACAGTATTTCAGTGAAGAGAATGCATTTGGTTGCAGCAGTAAACATTGTTAACTCTAAAATATCCTTACCTATTTTTTTCTTTGTGAAACTTAGAGGTTTTCAATGTCTTGCCTTCCTTTTAATTCCACACATCCCCATACTCTGCCCAGCTCTCCACCTTCTCTGCGGTGCTATCATTGCACTCATGGGCGCCCGTGTTTCACACCAAACCACTGTTACAATAGTGAAACACAAGCAAGAACACGAGCTCCGTCCCAGAGCTTCTTGGCATGAAGCCCCTTCTGTGTTTACTGAGGTGTCATGCGAGTCAACGGGACACTGGTAGATGACTTCCTTGTTTTCACCAAATAACTCAAGGGCTCAGGGATGTTAATTTTTATGAGAGGTTTAGCAAGAATGATGTTCTGAACCAAAATATCTGTATATCCTTTTGGCATATGCTGTCTCGAGAAAACCATGCCCCTTAACCTGCATTGCTTTTTGGAACTTTGAAAGATACTTTTGTATCATTTAAATGAGTACTTGGGTGAACCTATCCTAGAAAATTAAATTTTTACAATTGTGCGAATATTGGTAAATCCTTCTTGTCTTGGGTCTGGCTGGGGATATGGATCTCATGGGGGGTACTGCCAGTATGCATATATCCCTGTGGCCATTTGTCCATCCGTTCATCCATCCATCCATCCATCCATCGTCTCCCCTCTACTGGGATCCTTCTGAGCAGGAATCCTGTCTGATTCATCTCAAAATTCCCTGCAGCACCATCAGAGAGATTCATGTCGTGGGGGCCCAATAACCCGCCTGGGTGACAATAAAAGTGCTGTGTGTGCTGGAGAGGTGGTGCTGAGAATACAGGACCCATTTGCAGGACTGGGTGTCATAAAGGAACCCTTGGCCTCATGCCACCAACCGTGCTCTCCCAGTTTCCCAGCCTCTTGGAAATCCCATAACAGTGGTGGGCGAGTGGGATGTGGTTGGCCCGGCATTTAACAGCTCTTCTGATGTGTGTGTGTGTGTGTGTGTGTGTGTGTGTCTGTGTGTCTGTGTCTGTGTATGTGTATGTGTATTTGACTCTACAGGTCAGTTTTTGGGTTGTACGAGAAATTCTAACAGCACAGACTTTAAAAATAAGGGCAGAAATCCTGAGCCATTTTGTGAAAATTGCCAAGGTAAGCTGTTTACCCCTCCTTCCCCCCCTCCCTTCCTTTCCTTTCTTTCTTTGTCTCGAAAATGTGTTTCCTCAATAATTTGTGAGCAGCTTTGCTCTGGGTCTGCAGGGCAGGGTTCACACAGGGTCTGTGACCTGATTTCCCTTGGCAGAGGCAGCTGTGCGACCAGCCTGGCTGCCCACTCGGCCTCCAGCCCCCATGCACATGTTGGCAGCCAGCCATTCCCTGTGGCCTTTCACACTCTCCACAAGGCCCCAGGGGCTCCCCTGGGATATAGCCTTCCTCCTTCAGATTTAGCCAGTGCTGGGGGTTGACAGGCTTTAGTTAGCATTGATGTTTGTGATGCCCTCATATCCTGCATGATTTTGTCCCCAGTCAGCAGAGCTCGACCCACCCATCCTGAGCTTAAGGCCTGGGCCGGATGACCCTGCTGCCCCCCCTCCCATCCCGTGCCCCCTGGCCTGAGCCTGATAGGTTCGGTCCTTGTCAGTTGTTGGGTACTAGGCTCACGTCTGCATCCCACCTTTCCCCTCTTCCTCACCCCTGCCGGCCCAGGCTATGATCCCATGGACAGTCTCATCACTTACGTGCCCCTGCCAGCCCCTCCCCGTCCACTGCTCCTGACCACTGGCCTTGCCTGACTTGCCGCAGAGCGCTGTTCTGCCTCGTCCAGTGCTTTCTCGGTGTGTGCATGGTGTTTTCCCACCCAGATCCTAGGCCGGCTGACCCTCACGAGGCCTCTCACGAGCCCAGCGCCACAGCAGGTGCTTTACTTAAATGATTGTTTCGATGCTCACATCATTATCATCCTGTTTCCAGAGGAGGAAGGGGAGGTTCAGAGAGGTGTCCATGCCCAGGGCACCTCAGAGAGTCAGGAAGCATGTCTCTCTGCCTCAGGGGAGCACTCTGCTGCCCCTCATGGGGAGGTTAAGTGCGTCCATCTATAAGTACAGCAGGGCCCACAGACACTTTTATGTCTTGTGCATTCTGAAGTATTAATACTTGGGACCAGCTGGGCTTAACTACACTGTTGCTATCACTGAGCTCATGCTGGGCCATGTGAGAAAGTGGGGTTAAGTCCCTGCCCACCTGGTGCTTTCAGCTTGGAAATGGTTCATGGTCCCCACCCAGGGAACCTAAAACGGTCCCTCCTTAACCTCTGCCGTCTTTGATGGTGGATCATCACACTGCCCTGTGCCCTGGGAGTGTTCTCACGTGAGCCCTCTCCTTTCTCTAGGTCTTGGTTTCCCATCTCTACAATGAAAGGGAGATTACATAATCTCCTAGAACGCCTTCAGCTCTAAGAAATTCTGTGACAGGCAGAGCAATTCAGATATTCAGGAAGAAATCCAGTTCATACAGAGACTTTATTACACATAGGAAACAATTAGAGAATGCTACAAAATGTGTGAAACGAAGGGGAGGAATCTCCAAGTGGGAACAGAGCCATGAAGACTAGGCATAAGGGCTTTTCATTTATTCATTCATTTTACTAGGCCCTACTGTGTGCTGTACTAGGGACATGATGGCAGACACAACTTTGTCCCTCCTCTCAGGGTACATGGTGCAGGATGAGAGGCGAGTAAAAGCAAGTGCAGTCCAGTGTGCTAAAGAGCAGTACAGACTGCTGTGGGAACAGACAGGCGGGGTTCCCAACCTTACTAGATTTGGGAACATGGTCAGGAAAGACATAGTTAGTAGAGGAAGTGGCATGTGAGCTTGGAAGGACCCGAGACGAGTGATGGTGGGAGAATGACCAGTCTCCCTGACAAAGAAGGAGCGTGAGCAGCCCACATCGCACTGAGCGCTCAGCCCGGTGCCAGGCGCTGCTCTAGGTGTGTGCACGCACAGTCCCAGGTAGCGACGTGCTGATTACCTTCCTCATTTTAAATATGAGGACGCCCAGGCTCAGAGGAATCAGGTAGCTTGCCTGATGACACACAGGTAGTGGGAGAGGGCTGGGACCAGGTCTGTGGGTTCCCTGGAGCCTGCTCACTAACCCAGATCTCACTGACTCCCAAGAAGGAGAAATGCAGCCTCAGTCCTGTTAGCAGGTTTCCCTCAGCACAAAACCAAGAACAGAGCAATCGCATTCTTCTGCACTGGCTCTCGACTGAGTCTCCTTCTGTTGCCCATAGTAAGGAACTTGTCTGAGACTGAATTGAATCCAAATGTTCCCACTAATTTGGGGGCTGGTTCAAGGATGCATGGTCAAGATGAGGAAGCCAGGGCTCTGTCCACCCAGCTGAGAGGGATGATGCAGGTGGAGGACATCTTCCCGCAGCCCCTTTCCTTCCGCGTGTTAAGATGATCACAGGAGGCCCACGATGATGATGTTGGCACAGCTCAGGTTTCAGCATACGAAAGCCTGCCCGGTCAGTTCAGATTCGTCTAAAGAAAGGACATAAAGGACATTATCAGGCCTTATCCTGAGCCACATTTCTGTCCAGCAACCAGACTGTCGGCTTATGAGATTTTGCAAATGGTTTAGATGCAGACTCACCTTTTGACAATTCGAAAGAAAAAGAGCATATGGTTTCTATGAACTTCCTAGAACTGGATTTTCTACATGAGATATTTTTAAGCGTAATTGAATTTCATAAATATGACAGCATTTGGTAACACTTGAGCGTGTTTTTGTTCTGTTGTTTATAGCAGCAAAATAATCTATTCCGTATCTTTTTTTCAGAAACTTCTAGAACTCAACAACCTTCATTCTCTCATGTCTGTGGTGTCAGCATTACAAAGTGCACCCATCTTCAGGCTGACAAAAACTTGGGCTGTAAGTTCATTTCTCTAAGGTCTATTGCTTTGATTTTGGCTGTCATTTCATTGGTGAGGCTCTTCACCCCTTCAGCCCCAGAGGGCTTTCTCTGATTGTCTACCCTTTGTCAAGAGCAGAGGATGACTGGATTCATGAAATGTTCCCTGGACATCCTCTCTCCTTCAGTGATCTCAGCCTCATTTTGGGACAGGGAAGTTGTGAGGATGCTGACGAGGGTGGGGTTGGAAACCCCCCCAGAGTGGACCTTTCTGCACCCTACAACGTCATGTGTGATGGCTGGGTCAGTGATATGACTTCTGCCCTCCACTTGGCTGGTATTCTTCCCTGGCAGGCTCCAGACTGCCCTTGGGAAGGTCTCTGGGCTGATGGTTTGCAGCTGCCATGGGTTGCTGGCTGTCCAGCTAAGAGTTTCTCTGGAGAAACCTGTGACCCTCATGTAGGGAAAAATGATTTTTTTTCATGAAGGCCATGGATAATTTCAGCCCAGAGGTGGAGTCTTGATAGTTATATAATTGAGTCTGTAGGAAAGTTTTTCTGCTGTAAAAATACTTTAAAAATATCTCAGACCTCTTTATCCTCCTTAGCTTGGCCCCATGCCTGACATGGGAAAGTAATTGCTATTTCCATAGCTCATTGGCATTCACCTCCTGGCCTGCCTGGTCCAGGGTCTCTCACAGCCACACAGCTCAAGCCTTTCAAGAGCTGTTTATGTCCCACAGAACTGAAGGAAACTATATGGAATTGTCAGCTGTGCTTCTGCAACTCATTTCCGAACTTCTTTCTGCCAGTCTGTGGGGCTGGGCTGTGTTTCATACTTGGCTAGTTCAGGGGCTTTTAAACTACTTAGCGATTAGGCTGTAGGTGATCGGATTTGAGCCTTGTTCCTTTAAAGTACAATTTTCCATAGATCTAGCCCTAGCAAAGCAGAGTGAGAAGTGTTAGCCCGGAATCAGAAAACCAAGTTTGTGCTCAGGTGCAGTTCAGAGCGTGACTTCTGTGGGCCTTGTTTCCTGAATCAACTCAGAGAAGTTGGCCTAGATTAGCGCTTTTCCATCAGGGCTATTGGAGTCCCAGGGGTTCCTTGGAGCTGCCTTGGGGGCCACCCGGGGCTGGGGGAGAGCAGAGAAGGTGCCAAGCAGACAGCTGGGCACTATTTTCACCAGAGCGGCTCTGTTTGTATCAGTTTTATGTACTGAGCTTCTGGGTGAATTTCAGTTGAGCAATGGCTTTGGAGGTTGAAAGCAAGTTTGGAAACCACTGGTCTCTGCAGTCACTGCCAGCCCTGTGATTCCTTGACTCCCATCTGAGCTGTGAGCCTTTTTTCAAAAGTTGCATGGAGATTCTTTTTCAAATGAATTTTCCATCATTTAGATGCTGCTGTTGTTTCTTGGATTACGAGGAGCTCTGTGCAGACCCAGAGGAAGGAATCAGGAATCTCAAGATGCACAGACCTCACTGCCAGTGACGGTGTGACACTCAGGGAGCCTATAAGCTGTGTAGTTGGTGAAGGCCGTAGGGAGTCCTGGAAGCCACCATTCACCACCTGTCCTGATAGTTAAAGGACAGTGGATTGCACAGAGCATTTGGGAAATGGAGGGGGCCAAAGTAATCGCCTTTCCCCTTCATCCGAACGCCCCAGCCCAGCGGAACTGACGGGCATGTCGTGTTCCTGACACTCTCCCCACACCTGTCCTCACACAGCGTGCAGCACATCTGCTCTCTGGTTTTCTTTACAGGTCTGCCTCCCCCTTCTGACTGCCTTCCCTCATGACAAAGTCAGATTGTTCTCTGTAGCCCTGGTGCCCAGCTGAGTCTATGCTTGTTTGAATTGTATGTGTTTGTTGTGCTGAATCGTATCCTTCTCTTGCAATTAATTTCTGGTAATAACGTTAGCCATAGAAATGTTACCCAAAAAGAGCTATTTCCTATTTCCCCACATGTCCCTTGATCTGGTACAGATGGTGCCTCCTGGGCCCACAGAGCAGAGAGGAGCAGGAGCCCTGGGGGCACTGACAGAGGAGCCCAAAAGGTCAGTGCTTTTATAGTCCTTGTTCATCAGAGAAGGAAACTGAGGTCCCAGGAGGTGCAGTGACCTGTCCAAGATCACAGGGCTGGTGAGAGCCAGAGCCCCTGTGATGCCGCCGTGCCTCGCCGGACCCCACAGCCCATGTTCTTGGCCTGTGTGCTGGGTGGCTTGTCAGTGATGGAACCTGATCGTAGGAATCAGGCTGGGCACAGGGCAGGGAGAAACAGGCATACACGCAGCTTGGAAAGTAGGCCTGGAGAAGTGAGGCTGGCAGACTGCCCTGGGGCAGGACAGGACTGGCTTGATGGGGCTGCACTGACACCCTGGGTATCCTGGAGTTACAGGTATGGGAGGAGACCTGCCACTTGGTTGCGCCATGGGTAACCTGAGAAAGCGCCAGGTGGTCATTAGCTGTAGGACAGGGTAGCCTGTTGGCCTGGCCATGGCTGGATGCTGAGTGCCAGCAGGTGAGTGAGCTGGGACAGGACCAAGGTTGACACCAAGCATAGGCCCGCACACAGTAGGCCCTTAATAAATGGTGGGATGCACAGATAGGGAGGGAGTCACCTTCTGCTGGCTGGAAAAATACAGACAGGGTCTGATTTATCCCAGCACTGGGGCCACTTTGGAATACTGGCTGTCTCAAAACCATGAGACCTTAGTAGAAGTTGTATCGGCCAATTCTGATTTCCTGAGTACACATTACCGTGTGTATTTATTCATTCTGCAAATCAAATATTTATCGAATGCCTCCTCCATGCCAGATCCTGAGGCTATGCTCAAGGCCCCTGCCTTCATGGGCTTTTGATGTTATTCAGAGGAGACAGACATGTTATTGAGGGAGAATAAACACATGCCTTGTCTGGCTGGCACAAGAAGTGATTGATAAATGTTTGTTGAGTGCATGAAGTCATAAACAAAGAACTGTCAGATGGGAATAAAAGTGATGCGGAAGGCCGACACAGGAGGATGTGATCAAGAACGACTGGGTGTTCAGGGAAGGCCTCTATGAGAAGACAGCTTTAAGTCGACACCTGAGTGACGGAAGGAGCCGGCCATGCCAAGATGAGGGCATGGCATTCCAGGCAGAGGGCACAGCCAGTGCAAAGGCCCACAGTGGGGAGAAACGCAAAGGCCAGTGGGGCGGGAGCACAGTGGGAGCCCAGAAGGGGATTGGCGCAGACACAGTGGCCCCCGGGAGGCGGGGCCAGCGGGAAGGGCTCATGGCCCCCTGGAGGAGTTCGGCTCTGCCCTCAGTGTACGAAGGGATCTGAAACGGGAGAGGGTATGATCCGTTTACAGTTGCTTTTGATTTTTATATTTTAAATACTGTTGCTACTGCATGGAAAACAAATTGAGTGGGAAGTACTGGGGGGCCGAGTGTAGGAACGGGGCCTTCTTAGGAGGTTAGGGCAGAATCCAGGAGCGAGGTGATGTTGGCTGGGCTGGAGGAGGTGGCAGTGGGCATGGAGAAAAGTAGATTGCTAGGGAAGGCATTCTGAAGGTAGAGTTGGAAGCATGTGTGATGGGTGGGATGTTGGAGATGAGGAAAAGAGAGGAATGAAGAATGATGCCTAGGTTTGGGGCCTGAGCAACTAGGAAGATGGTGAGACCTGGTCCCAAGAGGGGACGTACTTACTCATGAGTGACCTGGGGTTATGGAATTCCTGGCGTATGAGTGAGTCACTCATTACAGCAGCTGCAGTCATGTGCTACCTCTCTCTCTCTCTCTCTCTCTCTCTCTCTCTCTCTCTCTCTCCACACACACACACACTCTGCTTGCTCTGTGCATGTGCCTATTATGATTTGTTCTTTCCTACTGAATTGATCCAGAGTGCTTGACTCATCTGCAACAGCAAAGTGAAAACTGAAGTTTCTGGCTGGGACGACTTCTCAGTCGATGGGATGGGTCAGGAGGCCTGGTCTGCACGGTGGGGATCTGGGAGAGGACCTTGCTGGGAACGGGGCTCTCACCCCCAGACACCTGGGGGTACATGGCCACTGAGCTGCAGTTTGGAGAATGGCTACTTTGCAAATAACCCTATGAAGGCAGATGCGTGTGTTTCGGATTTTGGAGTCTTTCATCCAGGAAGTGTCCCTAGCAGTCCCTCTCTAATGTTGTTGAGAAGGTGGTGACAGGCGTGGCTGCCCACTTCAGCCTTTCCTGAGCCTTGGCTCAGGGGATGAGAGGGTAAGGGGGTAAGGAGATGAGGAGCTGGAAGGCAGAGGAAACCAACATTTTCACCCTCCAGTTACTCCTTCCCCAGACATTCCTCAGTAGCCCTGCCTGCACTGCTTCTCAGAAGTTCCCAATCATGAATTCTGCTGACATTGCCACCCTCATCTTCCTTAGCATTGTCATAACATTGGACACTGTTCATCACCCTCTTCTTGAAAAATCCCTTTCCCGTGGCTTGGCTCCCTTCCTGCCACTCTGACAGCTGGCTCATCCCCCACTGCTTTTGTTCCTCCCACCCACTGGCTATAAGTGTGCTGGAGGATCTGACCCCCATTCCCACTCTCCCTACTCGTTTCCCATCCCTTGGGGATCTCACTGGCTTGGAGAACTCTAGCCATCACCCCTGTGCCTCAGTGGTGGCTGCCTCCTCCGCTCTCACCCCTGCTTCTCTCTGGAACCCGAGACCCAAGTTCCAGTGCTGCCCCACAGAGCCCTCTGCTCACAGCTCACAACTTGGCATGTCTGAAATCATGAATTTGGTTTCCAGAAGTAATAGTGAGTGCCAGAAGATTCTCTTAACAGACCCTGTTTTGACTTTGAGACAATATGGCCGACTGAGCTGGTGAGGAATAAGCCCTTCCCTCCCGACTGCCTGCTCCAAACACACAAAAATAAATAAATGCTGGATAAAATACAACCAAATTAAAAACCAGGAAGCAAAGCTGAGCTAGAAGTCAAGAAAGGGAAGTCACGATGTGCAAGAAATAAAGAGTCAGCCCAGTGAGCAGAGTT